GGTAGGCCCCTGGTCCAGGCCCGTACCTCTCTCACTCAGACTCCTACAGCAGCCCCTGAATCAGTCTCCCTGCCTCCAGCTTTGCTCCCTCCGAGCTATCCTCCGAAAACGGCTGGAGAGATCTTTCCGAAGCATAAATGTGAATGACCCCTGCGTGCTCCCCATGGCCCACAGATGAACCTCACTCCTCAGTGGGATGATCCAGGACCTTCCTGATAGGCTCCTCCAGTCTCGTGTCCCATTCCATGCCTCCAACAAGATGGTGTTCTTCCTGGTCTCCAAACACTCCCCATATCTCAGGGGAAACTCTTTGTCTTTCTCTATGCTCAGTTCTAATGGTACCTTCTCCACGAGGTTTCTTTAATTCTCCTACACTCAGAATTAATCGTTCTTTTCACTGTGAAGTCTTGGCACTACTCTGTTAAATTTCTACTGCAGATCCCCCTAGCTAGGGACAATCTACTGGAAATCCTGTACAGCAGTCCCCCTTAACTGTGGTTTCAGTTACGCAGTCGACTACACTCCAGAAGCAGATGATCCTCCTGACGTACTGTCAGAAGGTCAACAGCAGGCTAACGCTACGTCACAAAGCCTATGTCATTCACTTCACTTCATCTCATCATGTAGCCATTGTATCATCTCACATCATCACAAGAAGGGTGAGGACAGTATGGTAAGATAATTTTGAGAGAGAGACCACATTCACATAACTTTTATTACATAACATTGTTTTATTACATTATATTGTTATAATTGTTCTATTTTTTTATTAGTTATTGTTGTTAATCTCTTACTGTGCCTAATTTATAAATTAAACTTTATCATAGGTATGTATGTACAGGAAAAAATATAGTGTGTACATATGTATATATATGATGCAATACCATCTGCAGTTTCTGGCATCCACTGGGGGCGAATCTTGGAACATATCCCCTCTGGATAAGGTGGGACTACTGTATTTTCCCCAAATGTGGCCAAAAATAACAGAAAAGTTTAGTATTCCTCAAGAACAGAGACCCTGCTTATTTAAACTCAATGCCTGACTTTTACTAAAGAGTCTAGAACATACTGGACTCTCAATGAAAAGTTTACTGGACTGAATGAAGTAATCATTTCTGCACTTTTAAAGTTGAAATCGACACGGAAATCTTAAACTTTTAATAAAACAAATTTTATTATTAAAGTCCACACATTTTGGGGTGATCTGGCTCACAAACAAGCACTTTGAGAATCCCTGCAGTTAGCAGAAGCATAAAGCTGACCCTTGGAACTTATTCTAATAGATTTTCAGGGGTATGACTTCTGAAGCTGGGATGACTCATCCACAACTGTGACACGGGAATGACGGCTCTCTTCTCAAGTCTGTTGTCTTCAGAGGAACATGGCAGAACAGGCTACAGAACTTGGAAAACATGGGCTCTAAATGGGACACACGAGCTGCCCTGTAAAGGTTAGGAAAGACAGCCGAGAGGCAGTCATCTCCTTTTGCCTCTGCCTAAAGCAGTGTGGTTTTTCAAACCTCATTCAACGGAACAGCTAAAGAGGCCATTGCTAAGGATGAGAGATCGTGAACTTCAATTAAAACAGCTTTAACTCTTTTATATATTGAAGGTTTCAAGTAAGATTTCAATCTGAAACATGAGCACGCTGCTTAAAAAAAGGCTGGAAAACCACTAGCCTTAAGAATTCAACACATCCTTCTCCAGGAAGTGAAGAGAGGCTTCTAGACAAGAGGCCTCACATGGAAGCCACATGTGGCAGGGGCCTCAGGTATAAGCAAACCACTTTTTCAAACTCCAAGGACGGGTAGAGAAATGAGGCTTGGCTTCAGTCTTCATAGGAGGGCCACAGGCCTTTGTCCACCCCAGAGAACGGAAATCCTTTGACTTCTGAGCATGTGGAGAAATGGCGAGCAGCCTGGCTGAGGTAGGAAGGGCAAGGACAAGTCCTCAGATGGTCAGTCATCAGCCACCTTCACCAGGAAGCTTTGCTATATCTTCTCAGGCAAAGCACAGTGTCTGTTGTAAGTCTGGATATTTCCTGCCACCCCTACCACCCACCCAGAAGCTATCGTTGTTGTCTGTTGGGATGACTTCAACTTTCTATAGCGAGTTCATCTCATTAGTTATTGTAGAAGGCCAAGAAGAAGTGGCTATCAGCCTGACCCCACAATGAACTCAGCAAGGATGCTCATCCCTGCCTCCCAGGGATGTGCTGTTAAGACTCCAGAGCTGAACAAGAAAGTGCGGACGGAGCGGCGAGATCTACCTCTTCTCCAAGGCCAGCAGACCTGAGCCCGTTTCCTGGCAATGGCTGGTTAGGAAGGTTAAAGAGAGCAACTCTAACATAAAACACCCACGGGAGCTGAAGTCAGCAACATCTCTGCAGGCAGGTGACAGCCAGCCTCATTCTCCTCCACTGTCCTAAGGCCCTCAGAGTGGTAACATGGCAGCTCTGCAGCTAGGACCACATCACCCCCCGAGTTACTGATGATCACCACAGTGTCAATCACAAATTAAGTCCACATTTTGACCAAGGGCTCAAAGTTAAAAATTCACCTTACTTCTAAAATCTGGGTGCTGAGGGTGGGGCTGGTAGCAAGGGCTGTGTGCCTAGATACAAGAGATGTGAGGGGTGACGGGTTATCTACAGTGTGTGAGGGCGTGAAGCTTTCTGCTTGAAAACATTCTCCCACCTCCACTAGAGGAAACCCTGTCTGAAACAGGAGTGGTTTAGGATTCATAAAGATCTGAGTTCAAATCCTGACTTTGACACTTACTAGGCTTGGGGGCTTTTGGCAAGTCAAACTCCAGGAGCCCTGGTTTCCTAAATATTATTCCTCAAAATCGGAATAGCGGAGCTTACTTCGCAGTGAACTTACATGAGAGCACACACAAGAGGTCTGCACTACACTAACTCCTGTCTTTCGGTCCCATCCCAAGCAGCAGCACATTGTCCCTGTAGCTCGTCCCTGGGATTCCCCCCATGTTTTATTTTGGCTCTTTCTGCTAACCCTTATCCAACAGCGCCCTACATTTCACATTTCCCTTTACAAGGCCAGCTCTATGAACAGGGGGTTGGCTGTAAACTGCCCACCACGATGAGCGCCAGGCCTGGAACACTCAACTGGTATTACTGACGGGAAGAACAAAGGCCTCTATTTTTCCAAGAATGATGTGGTAGGGAGGGAGGAAAGGAACTACGAGAAGATGGAGGTGGTTCTTGGAACTGAAATGCTGAGCCAGTTGCTCCTTGACTGTCTGTTTCTGCCTCCTCCTTGTGTCTGCCCCAAAGGAGAGTGGGCCAGGGCTGAAAGTAAGGGGAAAGTTTTTTTTTTATTTTTTAAGAACAAACACAAATACAACTGTGTGTATATATATGTATAAAGTAATGGCAAAATTATTTCCATTGAGTAAGATTCCTAAAATCACCACGTGAGAAAGAGAGTGCATCCCAGAGGGATCCCTTCTGAACAGGAGAGCTTTATTCATCACTTATAGGGCTTTTGGTCTACAGCTGTGGGCCCTGGTGGGTCCAGAGGAACCACATAGACAGTGTAGAAATACAGCAATTCATAACATCGCAGATGGAAACACAAAATTGATGTCTGTAAACTTCTTTGTACATCATTAATTCGTTAGCTCAGAGAAACTAGAAACAGAGTCAGAACTTGAGCAAACACTGGGGAAGTTACATCCACATAGAGAGGACTGCATCTTTGGTTAAAAAGCAGGATCTAGGAAGTTATCTTAGTCTTCCAACTGCTCAGCCAGTGCAGCTAAAAGCCAGCCACCATCAGCCACACGTGCGAGCGAGCCAGCATGCTGCCCACTGCAAAGGGCACACCAAATGCTCCTTCCTAGTCACTAGTCCTACTCCGCAGCCAGTCTTGCTTGCATTAAAAAAAATTGGAGGACTTTGGGAAGGGTCCCAGTGTTCACCACTCAGTGCTGTGAAATTACACTTTGTTCTTTAGATTTAGAACAAAAACACAAATTTAACGAATATATGGAAAAAATCAGAACAGGACAAAAAAAGGAATGGGGGAAAGGCAACAACATGGGCTACAAATTCATTTTTATTATAAAGTAAAGCTCCTCCATGCAAAAACTATAATCGTTTCGCATTTCTAAAAAGGGCATTACAGAAAAAAAGGTCATGTATGTTTTACTACAAATTTTGGAAGGGGAGAAAATAGGGAGAACTTGCATTTAACAAATTGTCCATGCCTCCATTTTTGCTATGAAATATATATTAAGAGACTGGAAAATGAGGCACTTGTAAAAAAAAATTCAAGTAAACTCAAGTATGAATGGAATTGCAAACATTGATTTGATCAAGAGCTTTCCCATCTCTAAGATCCATCTTTTTTTTAAAGGTCTCATCTTAAATTTCTTTTTCAATAAAAGAGCCCTACACTTAAAAAACAACATTAAGCAATGTGCAAAAATCTGGCAGAAAATACTCTCCGTGTTCGAAGAACACATGAGAAATTAACAGGAAAAAGATGTATTTTCATAAGTATTCTTGAAAATACATCAAAAACACAAAATAATTTCTAAATATTTTTTTTAAAGTAATTTCATGCTGACCATGAAATGATTTTTTTTTTAATGATTTTTCTTTAAATATAATTTCTACACCAACTTTACATCTCTGGACTTTTTTTCTTCTCTGAGCCCAGGGCTGCTTGGTGGATATTCGAAGGGTGAAAAAAAAATCATGTTTCTGTGCTGAAAAGTTATCAAGACCAGCTCTCTGCTGCATTTGCATTGTTACTGGGGACACACACACACACACACACACTCTCTCTCTCTCTCTCAGCTTAATGTGAGGCTAGTACAGAAACAGAGAGATTAGACACAAAGAAATGTAAACAGCTCTCACATGCGAGGAAACTAGGTTACGAGAATCCCAGCACCAGGCATTCACCAGTCACCATGGAAAACAGGAAGTGAGATGCATAGCAACCACAAGCCAAAAAGCAGGAAAGCGCATACCTTTAGCTTGGAATGAAAATCACGAGATTTCCTTCTGGCAAGAACCTGAATGTGACTAGACACCTGCAGGGTAGGGGAAGGGAGGAAAACAAAGGAAAAGCCTGTAACCATGGAGATGAAAAGCCCCCTACAACTGGGCAAGCCAGACGTACCTTAATGGCGGCTTGAATTTCTCGAACTTTCTTTCTTGCTAAGACCTGTATATGACTAGACACCTACATTGTTCGGGATTATGAGGGGAAACAAAAAACAAAACAAAACAAAACAAAAAAAGGAAATCAAATATAAAATTGCTACTCCTTGGGAGGGTTTCGGGGTGGGGGGTGAGGGGGGGGAGGTTATTTGCATCTCAACAAAGCTCTGCAGTTAGGAATACACAGTCCCAGCCAGACACCAAGCCCCCAGCGCTGCTCTAAGCTTTTCAGACTGGGTCATCACTGCAGTGACTTGATTCAGGATGAAAGTTAGGCTGATCTCAGTTTTCTCACCAGGGAGAAAGTCATGGGCACGGGATGCGAGGGGGAGAGTGGGGTTGTTTTCCTCATAAAATTAAAAAGGTGGGGGTAGAAGTAAATGAAAACATTTATAGCTTCTCAGTTATCAGGAGGGAAAATCCCTTTTTCTCAATTTAGAAGAGACGATCCATAAATTAGCACATTCTGCAGAATCAAAAAGCTGAAGCTGTCGGTTGTATTCTGATCTCATTACGAGCTCTGGATTCTGTAGCAAATGTTAAAATAATACTGACATGTAAATTAGATCTCAAAGAGAAATGGAAAGACCCAGTTAGCAGAGCATTTTTTTTTTTTTTGCCCTTATAAATATCTTTAATCCTTCCACTCTTTTGGATATTGACTGGACGCCAAGTGGATTTGCATATTATTACAAAGCGAAAAGTGTGAATACAGCCAGCCAGCCATCCTGTTAGAAATCTGGGTTGAAAACCACACGGATTTGCTGAACAACAAATTCACATTGGAGAGGTATCACCAACTGCTGCCTAAAAACATCCCCAGGATGCCGGGGTGTGGAAACCAAGCCAAGCCCGGCTTCTGAAACACAATGATTCCACTGGGTAAACAAATTTGCATCTCTTTCAGCGGGACTCGCTTAAATTTAGAAGAGTCCCCCAGTGAAGGGGTTGGGCACACGACCAGAGCTCACAGACCAGCAGACAGCCCAGGTCCAGCACTTGCAGTATGTTGGGAATTAGATCTGTTTGTTTCAGAAATTTAGAACCTTCCATGTAAAAGTTCAGCAATCCACACTGCGAGGCAATTACTTCATTTCAAACACTCTAGCGACTCTAAGAACAGGATTTACGATAATAAAAGATCTTTTTATCTTTCACTTTGAGTTTTGAGTGTTAATTTGTTTTTCCATTTGCTTTTGTATTTATTTAGTAAGTATGGAGAAGAAGGAACTCCCCCATCCTCTTCACTCCTCCATCCGGCTCTTGCTTTTACTTGTTTTCACCCGAATTTTGTTCTTTTGGGATTCTCTGAGTTGAAGAGGGCCACCGTCGGGGGGAACATCCACCGAACAGACAATGTCCTGCCTCTGAGCACTGGCAGGAGGCCACTTCCCTCTGTGCTGACTCAGCAGCCAGGCTCCTGGCTGGGGCACAGGGAGCATTCCTGGGGAAAAGCTCTCCCCCGTCATAAACACTCACGAAAACAACTCATCACCGAGCAGAGAACTGGAACCTGCTGCTCAGGCTTAACGAGACCACAGCTGAGCTTGGCTTTTGGTTTGATTATAGTTTTTAAAATCCATGCCAGATCAATCAGCATAGGTCAACATTAAAAAAATAATTTTTTTTCTGTTAACAACTCACCCGTGAGGTTTGTATAATTTTTTTCCCCCTTTCCCTTTCTTTCTTTTTCTGTTTGTAGTTAAACACACATTGCTCATCCATTCCAGTTCTGAACTGGGTCAGAGATTTGGGCTGCTTGACATCAGAAAGCACAAGGAGAGTCGGAGCCCTGACAAAGGGCAGAGGAAAATTCCTGCCACTACTCTGCACAAAGGTATTTCAGTTGTAACTTCATTTCAGTCACAGCAGCTACTGACAAAAAGCCACAGCTTACGGAGCGACAGTTCCCTGGACGCACATCATTCAGTATCATTTTCAGGCCAACACTTACGGCTGCTGGTGTTACTTTTTCATTGAAATGATGACTAATATGTAATTGTTCCAGGATTTTACAATGTGTAAAATCTCCAAATTTCATGACTCCAAGCGTATTTGCATCTGCAGCTTCTGCAATGTTTGCAGATGCATAGGTTGGGAAAGAAATTTAAGTCTGAAAACACAGTAAAGGAGCAGTTCATACACTGCCCTTACCAGTGAAACTTTCCCAAATGTGTATAAAAAGAACTCTAGAGACCACATCATAAAGGGTCACTGAAATGATGAACAGTGAAAACTGAGCCAATTTAATATGCCTACAACACTGACGTCCTCACAGGGAACTCAAAAATTGGGGCTCCTAGGAGCCAAAGCAGAGCCAGCCACTGCAGCCACAATGCCTCCTGGGGCCATTCGCTGACATGCACAACTTCCAGGCGGGTTACTTTACCTGTTTTCTGGTCCTCGTCTTCCCTGTCCTGAGTTTGATGTATCTGGCTATCAATTCATTCCTACCTGAAAGAAAGAAGAATTTACAGTAAGATAGGTTACTTAAAAAAAAAAAAGCCTCTGAAAGCTAAGAAGAGAATTCAGAATCAAGAATTTTTAAGTTGCAGGTCTAAGTTTATTAATGCTAGAAAAACAAAACAGCACAATTGTTTGCAAAAATATTTACTAGGGGAAATTAGGATGAACGGCATTTAATATGAACTATGATCAGCAACTGAGGATAGAAATATGCCTTGTAAAATTGTGCCTTTTTGTTTCTTTGCATGCTTGTACCTAAATGGGTGGTCATTTCTAAGAGCAGCAAATACACAGATTAGTGTGGGACCACACAAACCTGGTTCTGTTCTGGTCCTATTTTTCATATCCATTCCTCCGCACCCAGCTTTCTACTGGCAGTTAACTCCAGTTAGTCATTATAGCCACAAGAGAATGAACTGCAGTGCCCACGGAAACCCTACAGTGATAAGAACAGCTAACAGCACGAAAGCAGACACCCCCTAAAGATAGTCACTGCCCTAGTAACTAACTATACACAAGATCATGTCGGTGAGAAAAAACGACTAAACATCCTCCTCAAACCTTTATAACCTTTCTCCCAAAGAAAATGCCTAAAAGTATACACAAATACCTCCCATTCCTACCCCCCGAGGAGATTGAGAAGTCTCAAACAGATAACCTGACCACAGAACTATAAGATAATGGGGAAATATATCCCTGAAGCTAAGTGGAGAAATAGATTACTAAGCTACTACATGAAATAAAAATCCACTCATACATGACATGGGTCCAAATTGTAACTATAATCATAACTGGATAGCTAGCCATGTAATTTGTGTTGGCTGTCTTACTTCCCAGACACACTGCTCTCCTGAAGAGGGCAAGAACCCTGTCTTGTTCCCCAAGTCTCCCCAGCACCCAGCACACTGCTGGGCACACAGAATAAATAAGGATATAACAGCCTGTGGTGAGAGAGAGTGAGCCACACCCCCAGATCTCCCCGGGCAGTGTAAAGAACTGGCAGCACTGATGACCGACACAACAGTGTCCTTATAGAAATCCCGTCTGAGAATTCTAAACTCTCCTATCACTGCCTAGAATATTTCTGTAATCACGGCTCTGCCACCACCTGTCTGGGTGAGGACTGCACAGGGCACAGTCCCCACTGAAAGGCAAAGGCATCGTAGACTCTTGGGGCTGGAAAGCACCTCTGGGTCATCCACTCCCACCCCTCAGTCTAAGTCCTTATAAACCTAAGCCAGCACTTCTAGAACTGAGGAAGCAGCCCATTCTATCTTAAAACATATTTAAGAATAAAAAGACCCTCCTTATTTGGGGTTTCCTGTAACTTGCATCCCCAGATTCTTCTTGCTCCTCTTAACAAGGCTAGTCCCTTACGCACATGACGCCTTCCAGATGTGAAGGACAGTTTTCAGGTCCTCCTGCAGTTGTACCCAGGCTAAACCTCCCTGTTCCTTTGTTATCTATGACAAGCTTTGGAACACTTCCACACCCGTCCTGTGACCATCCTTTGTTTATCTGCCTTTCATGGCCTGGAGCCCACAACTGTAGTGATGCTCCTGCTATGACAGGTCCCAGCAGAGTAGATCTATCACCTTCCTCATCCTAAATGCTTCACCTCTGTTAACGCAGCCTAATGCCGCACTAGATTTGGGGGACCAGAAAAAACTGTCAATTTATGTCCACCTGTCAACATGAACTCCTAGGTCTTTTTCATACAGGCTATTCCTCATATACATTTCTTCTCCTGTTCCTAGTCTCTTCATGCCTAGTTGGGATTTTCAATCCAAATACAGAACTTTATATTTATTTCTATGGCATTTCATCCTCTTAGATTAAGCTTATCATTCCAGTCTGTCAGAATCTTCTCAGATCCTGATTCTGTGACTGAACTTACCCTTTAACCACAGAAAAGGGACCTCTAAATCAGTTTTGAGGATTGCTTCTCTAAGCATTCTCTTTCAAACTTTTAAGAACCACCAATATTCCCTGTAGTGTCATCGGGTCTACTTCTCCATCTCTCAGATGGTTGTACAGATTTTGCAATTTGTCTCAAAGGCTCGCTGACAGCAGAGCCCAGCTAGGAGTGCCTAATTACCAGAAGCCAGACCTCAATGACAAGGTCTGCAGACGAGCCAAGCATCCTCCAGCCCGGGGCCTCACCGCGCACCCTGTTCAGGGCTGTCTGAAGGGCCAAGACGAAATAAATCCAGGGCTCTGTGTTACATGCAATTTCATCTGAACCTTGTCCAGATGGCAAACTTGTCTCCTGCCCCCATACTTGCTTATTTTCTATGAAAGCAGACGGAATAGCTCGGTATGTGTGACATATCACCTGTGTAACTAATTTTTAATTTCCTATGGCATTTGGTTGAATGGATGAGATCAACGTCCAGGACACTCTTGACTGTATACCGTGTAGTCTATGCAAATGCCACCCCTTGGGGTTAAACAATGTCAACTTACACTCTGATTAAAGTACTTCTGAAGATTACTACTTCTGCAACAGGCCCTCACTGAGTATCCACTATGAGCCGAGTGCCACGCTGTAGTCATCATTTCACTGAAAGCTTATCATAACTCTTACATTCCTGTTCTTCACATGAGCAGGATCACCTTTCAAAAGCCTGTGTTCTTTCTTTCACACCATGTTTCAAGCCACAAGGAGTAATTAACCCGAGGGTCCTATGTGTGTCTTCTTGTCTCACCAGAAGGAATATCACTGATTCCGATTGTAAATTCAAATTCAACTAACACTAAAGCATCTCCCGTGACCTGAACACAGTGTTAATCACTTTATTTCATGTGAATTTTTTAATGACCATGAGGGTGGCTTTGTGCACAGAAAACAATCATGTTTAACTGGTTGAAAAAAATGTACATTTCATTTGTTTAGTTATTAAAAAAAATAAACATCCTAGTTTATCTTTAAGTTTCAAGTTCAATTTATATATCTCATAATTTTTACAATCATTTTCAAAGGGCCATTCGATTAATGTTTGGTCCATTTTACAAACCTAGTTAAACTCCTTTAGACATTTGAAACTATATATTTAATTTGATGTACCTAATTCTTTTAAATATTAGAATTGTTTAACTTACAAAACTTTCCCTTAAACAACTCTTAGAAACCTAATAAATTCCCTTAGATGCTTTAACATTGTTTACAAATTGAGTAAGACTTCAACCCTCCCAAAAATCAAGTCTAAATCCATGACTTCCTTACACATTTTAATTTGCAAATACAGGCTAACTTGTTGCATGGGTCAAGTTATTTTAAATAATTACTTGAAGTATCAAATATACATAAATTCATTAAATCAAAAATATTAATACTATGACTTTGATTCTATTAAAATCTTCTATTTTCCATTCTAAGTTCTCCCAGAATTAAAATATGCTTACGCATTAGGGAAATAAGTATGCCATTCCAAACAATTTTGGAATATCTTTTTTGGCTACTTGGGGTTGTACATATTTTGCAGAAATCAACTAGGTTCTGAATCAATTCTTGTCAGTGACCCTGACAGGAGGTCCTGAGTCCTATTTCTATTGCTAGAGTACTGCCCTGCAAATGAGGGGGATCCAGATAGTCCAGAGCCCTGGATTTAAATCGTGGTACTGAGGTGCAGAATTCCCTAACTGAGGACCAGGAGCTCAGCGGCACCAACCATCACTGATGTAACTGGCAGTGGGTCTCCGGTCCACACTGCACAGTCTTGTTTTGCAGCCGTAATCAGAATGTTGGGTATTAGAAACCTTAACCCTCATTTCTCTCTCTTCCAACACACACACACACACACACACACACACACACACACACACACACACAGAGTGCTGCTTGATCCAGTAAACCTTACATTACAAAAATGACTTTCAACAAAGTTAACTTTCAAGTTAATCATGGCATTCCAAAACTAATCTTACAGTCACGTGGGGACCATCTCCTTTGTGCCTTATATGAAGCCTGTCTGGTGCATCTGGGATGTAAAGAGAAGACAGCTTGCCTGACCACAAGGAGTTCACAGTCCAACACAAGGCCTGGAATACAGCAGACCAGCTCAACGCGTCAGACAACGCGGGAAATCTCGAACGCCTTCCCCAAAGTACTAGAACGTAAGTTAGGCCTTTAAGGATGGATTACATTTTCTCCAACATTTTATTATGAAAAATCTCAGACATACAGGAGTTTTTTACAGAAAGAATTTCGGTGAACACTATACACCCACCACCTAGATTCTACCATCCACTGTTTCTACACCTGCTTTACCTCACGTCTGTCCATTCCTCTATCCATCCACCAAGCCATCTTATTTTGTTGTTGTTGCTGCATTTCATGTTGTTGTTGTTGCTGCAGGCACGATAACACTTCTCTCTAAATTCTTCAGTGTGCATACCATTAACTCAAGTGATAAGATGGATTTTGACAGGACGAATGGAGGGGGTAGGTTAAAGACCATTTTAGACCAAAGCAGCAGCATTTCTTTAAATATATAAGCAGGAAACTGGGACTCTCTAGAAAACCACACCTGCTGACCCTTCAGCTCCCTAGACCAATGCACATTCGTTCCTTCTGAGCCCAGGAGTCTCCAGGTTCTATACTCACAGCAGCCACGACTCATCTCCTTCATACTTCTCTATAAAGACTTGTAATTGCTTATAGAGCTGAGTGGCAACGTCACACTTCACCAAGTGTCATTATACGACAGCTTTGCTGTAGCACAAAATTTCCTTCAGAAATGCACATCCTATCACTTCTTTAGGTCTGCGACTCTGCAGCTACAGTTCTTGCTTTCCCCACAGGCAGTAGGCAGCAGCAGCAGAGACAAACACGGCCTGACCCGCCACTTTATACTGTGACCCTCACTAGGCACTGCAATCCAGATTTTATTTTATTCTTCCTTTCTCCTAAATAACATAACACAGTTAAAAGCGAGCCCATCATCAGCTGCTCCTGCATCCCGGATTGCTGTGAAATTGCCTGCTAA